GATTTGAATTTTCAAAACCTAAAAATATGTTAATTTTTAGAGATTTACACATATTTTGTTAAGAAATAGAAAGAGTATTATTTTATAGGAAGATAGTTATATGCAAACATTTTTTAATATGTATCAAGAGTTGTTTAAAAGATTTGTATTGGGAGTGTATTACTATTACTTGAAAAATATCGTAGTATGTATGCACTGAATATACATTCCAAAATTAATTAATGAAAAAAATAAAAAAGATGACCAAATTCGAAATGACTTGCATTCGGATTTTAATTTTATTTGAATTTAGTTTTTTACATAAGTAAATTGGGGTTGACTTCAAACAAAATATTTATCTGAGTGTGTTAAAGAAAAAAGAGGGATATAAAATGTGTTGTGCATTGTGTTGGAAATAAAAACTTGAATTTAAAAAAAAAATATTAAATCTATTTATTAGAAAAATCGGCGTGAGGATATCCCGTAACAAATATGAAATCGCATGTTATTTCAAAATAGATTTGATAAACCAATAAAAAATAAGATAAATTGATTTTTACTTGTAAATTGATTTTTTTTTTTTTTTCCAAAAAGCAAATAAGATACCAAATCAGTTAAATATGCACAAATTATGTATGAGATATCAATTGATTTAAATTTAATTTACCTAAATTATTTGATTTGTTTACCAAAAATATACTGATACGATGATTTCTAAATTTATGGGATATTTATTGATTTGAGTTTTAAAAACCTAAAAATCTTTAATTTTAAAGAGATTAACATAGATTTAGGTAGGAAATAATAAGAGGATCAATCTAGTTACCCAATAAAATAGCTTGGCAATATACAATCCAAATATCCAATTTTTGAACCATTTATCACATTTGTGTTTTAATTTGTTACTTATAAAAGTAAGTCAACTATTTATTTTTTAAGTTAAAATTGATATTTATGTATTTTTCCTGTATGACATTTGTTACCAAAAATAAGCCCAAAGAATTCAATCATATTGTGAAGGTTGTTACAAAAAAAATAAAAAAAAAAATAAAAAAAAAATATGCTCAACCTTTTTATAGACTATAGATAGATATATATTAGCATTTTTTCCAGAACTAATACGTATTTGAGTGAATCCGTTTCTATTTTGATAACATATGATTCACTAATTTTTACATTAGTATTTTTGTTGTTTTGATGATCAAACACAATCCAGAATGATGGGAGATTTACTATCAAACAACATTTACAAAAGCACTAATCTATAGCATCTGATCATATTTTATTTCATATTTACTAAGGGTCCGTTTGGTTGGCCGGATTAGGCTTGATATCTTACATATTGTTATTATTTCATGACTACAAAGATGTTTGGTTCGGATAGTTGCCGTTAAAATAGAAAGGCCCGGTCAATTATTAACAAGTTTCAGTATTGTGTATCCCACCTCATAGGTGGGATGTGTTATCATACTCTATTTTTTATTTAAATTTACAAAAATAACCTCATTTATTCGGGGCCTTTGTTTAAAAGGGATAGTCAAAGGCCCTATTTATTTAAATGACCCTATG